TTACATATTTGAGCTTTAAATCTGTTCCTTAAGCAGTGGAGGAGAAGCACACGTACACTGAGTTGTAATTTGCTTGCAATTGCCTGATCACACTCTGTTGTGCATCCCTTGACTTTCCAGTGGTTTAATTTCCACCAGTATAAATATTATTCTGCCCAAACACTTTCAAATTTTAGAACTGAATGACCTTGGTGTTGTGAAGTTCATTGTGTGTATGTCTAAACAGAAGAATGCTTTTGAGCTTGGTGGGCCTGATCTTGTCTCATTGGTCTTGAAAAGATGGTTCTTTTCAGAGCGAGTGTCTCAGAGACATTTGATGTGCAGCCCCTAGTATTGAGTAGCTGACCTTTTTTATTATTCTTAAATTAGGAATGGGGATATAAATGTTGTTATGTGCAATGCATTAGTGCAAATGCATCTTTAAAATGTATTGAGTTGGAAGAGTTTGGATACAGTATATTTACCATAGTGAAGTATACATGCAGCCAACTACACAGGGTGCAGATTTTAAGAATAACTGATAGCATGCTGTATCTCTTGCAACACAAATTTATTAGAGCTCTCGTGAGCTTCTCATATGTGATACTGCGTCTTTTTGTTGTTTTGTTTTTCCTGTCTGCGTAGGATTCAAAAAATAGTAGTGGGGGAGGAAGAGATGGCTGTTTAAAGAGTATCAAGTATCTGTATACAGAAGTAATTTCTTGTTTTCGTTTGGTAGTATTTGTAACCAGCAGGAAGAAAATATAATAGTTTTTTTAAATATTACTTACAACAGGAAAGTGCTATAGTTAAATATCGCTCTCCCTTTCTATGAATTCTGTCAGAGACTGATTTTTCACTGTGCTTGTATGGCTGATAAAACATTGTGTGGGAAGGTGCTGCTTACCTGTTTATTCCAGTTATATTCATTTCCTTATGGAGAGATGGAATGTGGACCTTCTCTGTTTGCAGAGACCAAAGCATTTTTTGGACATGTTTATACTAGAATAAATTTATATTGAAGTATATGAAACAGCTAGAGGTGCCTTTTTGTTTGTCCTGTTTAAACTCTCACCACATAAGCTTAATCATGCTTTTTATGGCGAAGACTAAAGGATGAAACTTTTAGGAGCACTCAGAATTCACCTGGTTTTTATTGCAGTGGTTTCAGGATGGTTTTCCATCGTTTTTCATAGAAACAGAAGTTAGAGCAGTGCTGGCCACATGTGAAAATCCTGTCCATAATCTGCATCTTTATTATAGAAAAGATTTATACCTTCTTTCAAATTGCCTTAGGAGACCAGCTTAACACGGAAAGTATTTTATTGCTTAAGAGGTAAACAATTGCAGCAACCAGAACCCAAGAGCGTTTTTAATTTCAATAAAAAAAGATGCCAAAGGTCAATTAGTGCTTTAAAAGGTTGGTGCAGAAATCAGCGCAGGGCACTGCAAGTCCACGCATATTTTGCAGCAAAACTTCTGTTCTAGTTGTTCCGTATGTTGCATGTGAGGACTGTTGCATAGCATCTGTGTTAAAGGTAATTAAAATGAAATCACCCTTACCTGTGTGTGAAGGGGAGGGATGCACTGTGACTACTCATCCCCCCCCGCATAACCCAATGGGGCACGTGGCCTCCCGACAGCGCCGGTGACGCAGTGATATTTCACGGTGGCATGAGTAGCTTGCCAAGCAGCAACTGCTTTTGCCAAGCACCTTGTTTGGAGCTGTGACTGCTCGGCACGTCTATTTGTGGCAGGGAGCGAAACGCTCAGCGGGGCTGGCCGGCCACCAAGCCTTCTCTGTAAGAGTCCCTGTCTGCCTCTGGCAGCCACCGGCACGGGCAGCTGGATTTGAAAGCTCTCCAGAGAAAGCAGCGTGTGAGAGGGGCGGCAGTCGTCCGTCGGCGATGATAAAGCAGTGTGGCTATTTTCGCTGCTGTTTTCCAAAGCCTTTCTCCGCAGCCGCAGTGGGACGCTTCCCCTCCCCTCTTCTGCCGTTTTCCCTCAGCACCTTCCCCGCCGTCAGCTTGGGCTTCTGATAAGATCCTCAGTGTGCCAGGAGGAGCCTCTCTGTCTTCTTCCTTCCTACGTACCTTTTCCAATTAAATACTGAACTTCTCCCTTTTCTCCTCTCCTTATCACTCCTTCCTTAACAGCAGGCTGGTACGTTTTGTCCCAGATCCCAGGGAATGCCCTTGGGAAGCTGCTGCTCCAAATCAACAACCTCCTACACACTTCTCGCTCCCCGTGGACGGCTTCACCTCAGAGTAACTTAGAGTTCCCTAAAGAAAATGCCGTGTATTTTTAACAGCGTATTTCAGATCTTGGCAGCACGCTTCCAGCAAAATGACAGAAAAGAGAAAGATGGCCAGCTGCTCTGGATTTGCGGACTACCAAACCTTCACAGTAGAAACTATGTTTTGCTTCAGTAGCTGAAAGGCCCTTTTTAAACTTCTGGCAGGCTCCTTTCTCGCTTAATGGAAAACAAATTGGGAGTAATTCCACCAGCAGCAATGGCAATAGGCTTTGAGAAGCAGGCAGCTTCTACTTATTGCACATATGGAGTCCTATTACCTTGTAGGACTGCTTCTTGAAAAAAGCTAGGAAGATTAAAACAGGCTTTTTGGATGGACATCTGTTATTGCACTGACTCGCTGTACTACTTGCTTTGCTGCAGCCATGCAGAAGACTGTGCAATAGCAAGCTGAAAAAGCAAGCAAATACTTTCCTGTTGACCAGAGAAGACGCAAGGGAGCAAAAGTGGCTTCCAGCCCCCTTGGTAGTCTGTGGATTTCAGGTTACTGCAAGGACTGAAGTAGTCCAGCGGGAGAAAGAAACTCTTCAGGGCTCTCTGTATCGCAGCAGCAGCCTTGCAGGAGGCTGTCCCCTCGCAGGGACAAAATACAAGAAAAAAATTGAGGAGATGGTCAGTGATAAGGGGGAGAGACAGACTGACTTGCTGTTTCTTATCTTAGTGGCTTGGTGCACCTGCACCAATCCTGGATGAATCAGCATGGTTAGTCCATTGCAGTCAGTCTCCCTGGAGTTTTTCATACCCACAAAAGCTCGGCATTGATCTGTGCAGGAAAGGCTGGGAAGCAGCATGGAGAAGAAGAGCCGGCATCACTATGCCTGCATCTCCTTTGGCAGACAGCGCTCGTTTTCATCACTGGTGCTCCAGCGGATGCAGAAACCTTTTCTTCCAGCGCTGTTTCCTGCAACGGTGCTCTGGCAAGTTCCTGGTGGCCTAGGGCTACAACCTGGGCATTGCTTGATCTGGAGCTTGCTCCATGACAGATAAAAATAGGGCTTGAGCTCCAGCCAAACCATCTAAGTGGTGAGGTTAGCCTGTTACAGCTTGTGGCTCCCGGTTGCTCTGGTGCAAGATGGATAACCACACCTACGGGCGGGCGAATAAGCAGGGTCATGCTGCCTGGGTCCCACCTTTGGGGGGGGATTGCGGTCTTGTGGCGCAGGGGAATAGCTTGCC